AGCTTCAACAGCAAGCGAGATGGGGGCTGGGCGGGGGATGAGCGCCCCTGCCCCAGAGAGCTAGCCCCAAAACTTGGACAAAGCCCCAGAGAGCCCACACAACGGCAAGAACCCCGAGAGCAGCCCAGGACTGAAGCGGGTCCCAGAGCTGCCCCGAAGTTGATGGCCCAGGAGACGAGGAAGGAGCCCCAGCCAGGAGACGCTGCTACTCACATCACCGCCACTGTCCTTGATGCCCACGATGTTCGGGTGCTGGGAGAGCGTGACCACCGCATCCACGGGCAGGGCCAGGCCCGTGTTGGCTGGGACGCTGTAGAGCACCACAGGGACTGGGGAGAGGTCAGCGACCTGAGGGAGGCAGAGAAGAGAGGAGAGGTGGTGGGGCCCGAGGGGCGCGAGGCACTGCCCACCACCACCAGCTCCGGGCCTGGGGCCCTGGGGGCCACCTGGATATGCCCACCTCCTGCACTAGGAGTCACAGTGCCGTGTTCCCTGCTTGTAAGCGATAATAACAATATTTCATGAGCGCTTTCTATGTGCCAGGCTCAGCTCTAAGTCCTCTGCATTTCAATGGAACTCGGTCCTCACAAGGACCCCGTGAGGAAGACCGGGCCATTCCTCCCATCTGAGAGGCGAGGAAACAGCCACACAGTGTGTTTGGCCAGCGGCCCAGCGGCAGCCCTCCCCGTCCCCACGGCTGCCATTCACGGGAAGGAGGCTCCCCCTCGGCCCCCAGCTGCTCTCTCTCCCCCCAGGCAGCCTCCTCTCAGTCCCAGGCCCCACACCCACCTTGGTGTAGTGGTGAATGAGGGCAGCGCTGCTCATGCGGCCACGATAGTAACAAGGGGTCACCACGATGGCGGCGTCTGCCCCAACCTGGGCCATGCTCACAGTCATCTCCACAGTGGCTTGCGTGGCTATAGGAGGAAAGAGGGAGTCTTCCCTATGGGCCACGGCGGGTGAGAGCAGGAGGCCGAAGGGCTGGGCAAGCAAGGGGTTCAGAAGAGACAGAACCAGCAGGCTGAACCAGCCCCAGGGCCAAGGAGCCTGGCTCCCCACTCCCAGGCCCCCCAAGCACCCCCAGAGCCCAGAGCACTGTGGCCTCACACTCGCAGCCAGAGCCGGCTAGCAGGAGTTTGTCCTTGGGCATGGCCTGGCGGACTCGGCTCACCACCTCCAGCCGCTCGCTGCTGGTCAGGAAGGGGAACTCGCCATTGGAGCCCTGGACCACGAAGCCTGCAAGACAGGTCCCATCACAGCCAACGCCTTCCCATCCTCTACCAACAACCGGGACGTTGCCGTTACACACACCCAGGTCCCTACCACCACAACGCCATAGTTGTTCACACATTTCCTTCCCATCTTTGTCCTGATGCAGGCAGAATGTTTTACCCAGTTGTGACGGCAGTGTCCACACCATTTTTCTTTGTGTTAATGAAATATTTTAGCTATACCCAAAAGACTCGATAATAGTAGAATCCACAGGTGTGTACCCAGCACCCACGGCAACCCTCCCCTGATCACCTTTTTCTTCCTCTTCTAGCTGTCCCGACTCGGGTGTCATTGTTCCTGTTCATGTCTTTATACCCTTAAGGCATACATATTGACCCATAAACAAGATATAAGACGTTTTTTGCCATTTTAAGCTTTATAGGAATGGAATCAAGCTCATACAAGCATCTGTGGTTTGCTATTTTTGCTCAAGATTATGTTGTGAGCTTTGTCCCTAGCAGTACACAGTTCTGATTCATTTTAATTGCTATATTATATTCTGTTGTGAAGTTAGACTACAATTTACTTTTCATTCTCCTTTTGGGGACATTTAGAATGTTTCCTTAGTTTTGCTATTACAAATAATGCTGAAACAAACACATCCTATAAGGTCTTCTGTGCCCATGTCTGAGCTTCTCTACAGTCTACTTGGGCATGTAATTGCTGAGCCACATCCATGTGCATCTTCACGTGCCAAACGTCTGCCTCATTAGCCAGTTTGTACCACATGGAAGGGCCTGTTAGTGTTCATCCATGCTATCGCTGGGTATTGTCAGAGTTAATTTTTGCCAATTTTCTGGGTGAAAAGTGACATCCCATTATTTTATTTTGCATTTTCCTGTTTGACCGATCATTTGAGAGGTTTCTAACACCACCAGATAAGGTGTCAACCCTTTTATATCACAGAATTGATGCTCTTTGGCTGAATCTGAAGGGAATGTTAGAGTAAAACCATTTTCCTCTCTGCTTCTTTCATTTCACTTTCTCTTTCCTCTTCTTCCTCCTCTCTACTCCATCCCATTCCAAAAACATTGTTCTGAAATAGTTGACAAATACAGCCTATGACACAACAAGATTATTAATAAATAGGAGACCTCTTGGGAGAAAGCAAAGAAGAGAAAGCTGGGGGGCGGGATACTGATATACAAAATCCCTGCCACGCAGTTGTGAGAGATGGGCCATCACTTTGGTTTGGAGCTTCCTGACAGTCAAAGCTAAAAGGGAAATGTGATCAGCTGACAGATACGCAGAACTCAAGATAAAAGCAAAGCAGCTGCCCCAGAGACACACAGAGTTTCCTGGCATTGGGACCAAGAGAGATTGTTCCAGTGAGTCATCCTTAGGGGACACAGTGTGATGGAGAGTCAACTTTTCAACACAAACCTTCTTCCATGCTGTTCACGACACCAGCAGATTCCACGGAGTGGATTGCCAGAATGGCTCACTGGATACTTAGCAGTTTCCCCCCCACTTTTTTGCCTTGGTAACATTGCAGGGAGCATCTTGAGGCAAATAGTTTTTGGCTTCTGTTGTGTTGCCTCCTCAGGATCCATTTCTCCACGTCAGGCCAGGAGCCTCCTTCTGTCTTGTTACAAAAGGTGCTGGTCCTTTGCCAGTGTGAGTGCCCCCATGTGTGAGTCGCCAACCCCGGAGAGGATTGGACCAGCATCCTCTGCTGAGAGGTCAAAGATTCTGAGATGGAACTTTTGCCACTGCCTCTATGGAAATGCCTCCAAAGACATCTCCCTCCCTCCACAACCCTGGCTGCCACCACCACCCTGGAAGGGGGCCAGGCCCATTCCTGCACCAGCCACTTCTTCGGCCGTGTTCACTCATCCCCAAGACCCCCTTCATTCTGGGGGCCAGTTCCAGGGGCTCCTGAGCAGCAGGACAGCTGGGTCTTGTGCTCTCCGAGGGGAGGCAGGCCCCTGTGCTCAAGACTCCTGGTGGCCTCTCCCTTGTCTCAGAAAGGAGCATGTGACCCAGGCCGGAGGAAGGCAGGCCAGGCTGGGGAGGAGGGAATATCACAGAGTCGGGAAACAGTCGGACCCAGCTCCCCTTTTGAGCAAATTACATCATGTATCTGAGTCCCCATTTCCTTTTCTACGGGATGATAATAAAAACATTTCAATCCTACCTCATAAGGCTACTTTAAAGGCCCAAACAAGAAGATGTACAAGAAAGCACCTGGAAATCTGTGAACTGATGCTGCAAAGAACCCCCCTCTCTCCTGGGTGGGATGTCCAGTTTTAGGCCTGCTGTGCCTCCCCTGGTGTAGAGAGGGGACTAGAGTGGGGCGGGGGGGGGGGGGCGCCAGGGCCCCGGACGGGTCAGGGAGTGAAGACAGCATGCGATGAAAGAGCAGGTGGGTGGAGTGGTCGGATGCATAGGCTCTGAACTCAGAGGAGCCTGCGCGAAACTCGGCGCAGGCCCTTATCAGCTATGAGATCTTGGGCAAATGGCGTCACCAAGCCTCAGCTTCCTCACATGAAAAATGGGGATATTAGTGCCCTCCTTAAAGAGTTGTGAGGCTTAAATGAGATACTACTTATAAAGTGCTTCGATTAGAACCTAGCAGTGTTAGCTGTAATTATGACAGAGTCCGGAGAAAGTGCTCAAGCCTTAAATCAGGAGGGTGGCAGCTTTCCATCTGAGGCGGAGGAGGCTGGCCGCTGTGGGAGGGGAGCCTGCTCTCAGGAACTTCTCCTGCCCGATCCAGCTGCAAGACAATGCAGCTCATCACAGAAGCTACTCTCCCTCAGCCCCACGGTTATGCTGACTGCTCTGGGGAGCCAGAGTGGCTGGGGGAGAGGAGTGGGTCTTCAGGGCTGGGCATGCACAAGGAACATGGTGACTGATGTGGCCCAAAGGAATCACAGTCTCTCTTACTCTTATGCCCCTTGACCCATCATCCTTGCCACCTCCCCTCAGAAGTCTTCCCAGGATCCCTCCACCAGACATCTCTCCTCTGAACTTCCATCTCCTGTTCCTTGTCCTTCCCTGTGGCCTACCCAAAAATATACAGAGGTTCTCCAGAACCCTTCCATCTCCCCCACCTCCACGTGCAGGATTAGGCAAAATTTCTCAAACTGGTCTCTGCTGTAAAATGAGGAAGTTGGACTGTATGCTCTTCTACGTCCTTCTTGGCTCTAAACTTCGGAGTCATGTTTCTGGCTTTTCCTGCTACCTTTCGCGCATCTCTAAATGTTCCCCTTCAGCCAAACTGTCAAGGTCCCCCAGACACAGTGTCACGACCCTGCCTCTACACCTTTGTGCATACTGTTCCCTTCTGCCTGGACCACCTTCCTCCCTGAGCTGCAGCCCCGGAGAGCCTTTTCTCACTCCCCCTGGCTTCTGCCCCTCCTGTTATTTTGTCCCCCATGCACAGCACATGGCCCTACTTTGCCAAGAATCATCAAGATCACAGACATCCCCTCATGTTGGCCTCCTCCACGACATCCAGTATGAAGTATTTTAAATTTAAAGTGTATATATGCACACACACACACACACACACACACATTAACATTTATATAAAGTCACTTATTAGTAATTTTAAAAAATATTCAAATACTGGGGCACCTGCCTGGCTCAGTCAGTGGAGCATGCGACTCTTAATCTCGGGGTTGTGAGTTCGGTCCCCACGTTGGGTGTATAGATTACTTAAAATCTTTACAATAGATAGATAGATAGATGAATTCAAATACATCCAATTATGCCCCATAAAATCAATCAACAACATTTAGGGTGTTTGTAGATTTATCCATCCTTTGGAAGGATTCTGGGCGCCTTCTTCTGGGAAGTTTGAGGCCCACAGGCTGGGAAACACTGGTAAGTTCATCCCAGATGCCAATGGTACATTTCTATGTAAAGGAGCCACTGGGGGTTAGACAGTGTGGTGTAGCTGACTTCTCTCAACTTTCATGGGAGACAGAGCTGCCTCCCTTTAAGCCCCTTACTGGAGGTCCCCCCTTGCCCCAGAAACGGCTTCTTGGGACCCAGGAAGAGGAGGCAGGGGAAGTCCCGGGCTTGAGGGAGGGCACAGAGAGTCAGGACATGTGGTAAGAGGGCAGAGGTAAGCATGAGAGAGGGAGCCCCCTGGAGGGCCACCTCTAGGGGGCAGCACAAGGCAGGGACTTGGGGTCTGAGCTTTGGAGTCGGCCAGAGCGGGGCTCTAACTCCACCACTTACTGTCCATGCCCTGTCAGGTGAATTACAGCTCTGAGCCTCAGGTGTCTCATCTGCAGAACGGAGGTAACGCAATACTGTCTCCATGGGACTGTGCTGTAACACTTAACATAGAACATGGCACATACTAAAAACTGAAAAGAAAAAAAAAAAGAGGGAGCTGCTGGTAGTACTAGTAATACTACTAATCCGTAGTACCAGCAGCATAAACAGGAAGAGAGAGTATATGGCACAACAGCTCTGAAGGTAGGCGGGGGAGGCATTAATGGGGATCCCAGCGGCCCCGGAAAGCAGGTGGGGCAGGGAGAGAGCACTGCAGTGCAGGAGGCCACACGACTCGAGCAGCAGGAGATAGGGTGAAGATGACACCAAGAGGACAGGAGACCCACACCCCACCTTGCTTACTAGCTTCTGAAAGCCTGTCTCTCCCCCCACCTCTCAACACCTGGCCGCTTCCTCCTTCCCTGGCCAACAGCGGGTTGGTGGGTGCTGAGCTCCCGGGAGACGTCCCATCCCCAGAACCTGAGACCCGGGGAAGCTGATTTATGGAGTCTTGAATCAGCCCAGCAAAAAGCCCAAGCCAAGGGCCACACGAAGAGGACTGTGGGAGCGGAACCCTCTCCCCGTATCCCCGCCCAGTCCTGAGGCTGGCCACAGAGCCCCCCAGACTCAGAATGAGGGTATACAAGGCTTTATTGGCTCAGTTCCAGGCATTTGGCGTCAGTCTGGGGGCTCTCAGCTGCTCCTGGGATCTGCCTCGCCTGTCTTCTCTCGGTGGGTCTTCAGGGGCCCAGGCGTGTGTCTCGGCTGCTTCCCTTCCTTCCACCTGCCCCTCCGTCGGGAGCCATTCTCCGTGACAGACCCTACTCACAAGACTTGAAGGGGCCCAGGAGCCCCGTGGGGGGCTGAGGAAGAAGGGTGTTGGGCGGCAGCCTCTCACCCTGGGCCACACGGGTTGCCCCACAGGAGAGAAAACAGGCCCACATTTGTGTGCCAGCCCTGTCGGGGGAAGGGGCGTCTCCATCTGTGGTTAGGTCGTGGCTTCAAAGGGGTGGTAGGTGTGTTGGCTGCGGTTGGACAGACTGTGGCTCTGGTGGCTCGGATACCCCTGGTGGCCGTGGGGACCGTGGCCATGGAAGGTGTGTGTGTGGTTCATGCCGGCTACCGCGGTTTCTCGCTGAGTGAGGAAATTCCCCTTCAGCTTCAACTCCACCTCCTCGAGGGCCTTCAGCTCCTCCTGGTTGATGTCTTTGGACTCCAGGTGGCCTGAGTTCTGGTAAATCATGGCACGCTGCAACATGGAATGAGCCAGCTGCTGTCCCAGGTTGTCAATCTCCTTGGTACAGGCAGCCACAGCAGCCCAGGTGGCCGCATCCGTGGACGAGGATTTTCCAGACTCCCTCTGGGTCTCTCTGGTCAGCGAGGAGCCAGACAACCTCTGCTTGCTGGTGAAGGACTGCCGGTGCAGAGCTGCGCCCACCTCTCCTTGCCCGGTGGCGAAGGTCTCTGTGCGCACCGTGGTGCTGGCCGCCCCACGGCCACTCTCGGGGGCAGGGGGGGTGCTGCTGCTGGCGGCCAGCTTCTCTTCCGAAAGGCGGCTAAAGTGAGATTTAATCCAGTTCTCATTCTTTGCTTGGTGACCTTCGGGTGGCCCCTGCTCCTCCTGGGCAGGAGCAGGGGATGTCTTCCTTCTCCTCCTCCTCTGAATCCACAGCATGAGGCCTCCACCGCCGAGTAAGAGGGCAGCCCCCAGCACCACCTTGCATGATGGTTGCTGGATGAGCTCCAAGAAGGCCTCCAGGACCCTAAGCCAGGCAGGCAGAGCTAAGAGCACACTGGGAGTGGGGGAGCCCGGATGGTATGGTTCATGCTTGAAAGGGCAGGTTCCCCGAGGCTGTCTGGCGGGCAGGCCACCAGCTGGACCCTTCCTAGGATGCCCCTCCCACCTCAGCAATGAACCCCATTGTGAGGAAGGTGGCTAGGGGGGCGGGGCGGGGAGAGGCCACAGCATCCCTCACGTCCAACCTGGCAGGCCGTTTCCTGAGGCCCAAGTCCCGTCTCCCACCCTGACAGCTGTCCCCGAGGTCAGTGGAAAAGCAGCTTCCCCAATTCTGAGTCCCTTCTGCCTTCTGCTTGTGACCCATTCTGCAACTCAATCCTTCTTTTCCAATCTTTGGTTTCTCTCCCTCTCCATCCAGTGGCCCCCAGGGGGCAGGTGCGCCGACCACGGCTGAAGGGGTCCTTCCATTCCAGGCATCCATTCCAGGCTGCCTGACGTTGGTGTCTCCTTTCATTCAGGGCCCACCCCTGCTGCCAGCTTGGCACATGTGCAGCCCCAACCCCTTTACAGAGCAGGGTCCAGAAGGAAAGGGGCCCGGGAAGGAGCTCATTCTAGAATAACATGAGGTCACAACTGAGAGGAGACAACAGTGGGCTGAGAAGGCAGAGCAGATAGGACAGGGGTCTTCAACAGATGCCAGATCCCAGAGGCCATTCCAGGATGGGGGCTGCTACCTCGTGCCTCAGTGACACACCTGCAAGCTCAGAATTCTCCCCCCTCCCCCTGAGCCCTGGTTAAATGGGCACAGTTTAGATGATGAGCAGGTGGGCCACCTGGCCAGGCTCTCTGTAGGTACAGACAGTGGAAAGCCTGGCCCACAATCCCAAATTATATCCAGAGCCTCTCAGGGTAGAAACAGGCCTGGGCCCCTCTATTTTTTTCCCAGAGGCATCTAACACATTTTTTAAAAACCACATTTCACTTTTTAAAAGTGAATGCTAGGGGCCCCTGGGTGGCTCAGATGGTTAAGCGTCTGCCTTCGGCTCAGGTCATGATCCCAGAGTCCTGGGATCGAGTCCTGCATAGGGATCCCTGCTCCTTGGGAGCCCACTTCTCCCTCTGCCTCTCTCTCTCTCTCTCATGAATAAATAAAATCTTTAAAAAAAATAAAATAAAAAAAATAAAAGTGAATGCCAAAGTAAATGCCAAAACAGGGTTGTAAAAATTGTGATTTTTTTTAAACAAAATATTTTTATTTAACAAAGTAATGGCTTTAATATACACAATAATATCTTTGTCTATGTACTAAGGGAATAAGATACAAGCTCAAAGTTTTATGGGGAACATCATCTCCCTAGTCCTGCTGAAGTAGCTCTGCGGTCGTCCACTAACCTCATTTGGAAATAACAACTCAAAGTTCATCTTCGAGGTTGTTTGTAGGAGTGAGCTCAGGGCCAAATGGCCCCTCTGCAACAGTTTTACCCTCCGGTCTCTAGTTATAACTTTCATTTAAAAATGATACTCTTTATACAAATAATCAGTAAAAATTAACAATTCAAAAATAAGAAATAAAGAGAGCTACACAGTTTCAGGCAATACCTTCCAGAAGAATCTCTAACCGTTCACTGATTCATTAAAGGCAGGTTCCCACCTCCCCTTTGGAGGCCCTTTAACTTATTGTAGGAGGCCCTGGCACTGTGGTATGTGAGGGCTTCCTCCTCTGCCCCCGAGTGTTGGGCAGCAAAGCCAAAGCTGGGGGCCAGGACAGGGCCAGAAAAACATTGTCTGTAGAGCAAAAGTTGCTCACGGCTCCTTTCCCGGGCATTCTGGCTGTGTCCTGGGAGCAGTGACAGGACCCTATGGCTCTATTCTTTATGTCAGGGCCTCACACTTGAGCTCCTTGGGAGGAATGCGTTAACCCTGTGGCTCAGTTCCATTCTAAAATGAGGAAGTCAGATTAGAGAGGTTCAGGGATTTCTCCAAGGTCGCCATAACTGGCAGAACCAGGATTCTTACCCAGCCTTCTAACTCGGGATGCTGAGCTCTTTCTACTCAGCCCACTGCCTCCCTGGTGTGTGGGTAAGAGAGAGATGAGGCGGGAGCAGGACCCTGTGTAGGTCAGTGGGCGCCCGTGGCCCGTGGCCCGTGGCCTGCCAAATCCACAGCAGCCTGTGATCCTGGGCACCCCCGTGTGCTCTGCAGGAGTCAATGAGCAGCTAGGAGGGAAGGAAAGGTCCAGAGAAGAGGTTGGGGGTGTCTGTGGATTCTCTGGGTGGCAGGCAGGCACTGGACGCAGAGTCCACCCTCCCCACCCCCTGCACCAGGGTGTCATTGAACCTGGAGGGTGAAGCCGAGTCTTCCTTCCTTTTAAGATTCAAGGAGCAAGGGGCGCCTGGCTGGCTCAGTCAGTGGAGCATGCGGCTCTTGATCTTGCGGTCATGAGTTCAAACCCCATGCTGGGCATAGAGATTACTTAAAAAAATTTTTTTTTAATAAATATGAGATTCAAGGAGCTTCTCACTTTGCTTCAAGAGACGCAGGCCTCCGTGCAGACTCTCAGGCCCCAGCAAGCTGAGCCCGAAAAGAAATTTACTTAGAGTTTGTGTCACTGCTCACCATGGGCATCCACAGGGCATTCACTGAGCCCTAGGAAAGGGTCCCATCACCTCAACCCTGAGATGTGGATGCGGTTTGGTCAGGTCAGTAGTCACTGTCACAAAGCAGCTCTATGGACCTGTGGTCCTAGTGATTGTGACCACTGGATCCATAACTTCTAGGGTACATCACCCTTTTCTATTCACAGTGTGCTTTCATCTGCCCTCTCTTGGATTTCTCTCCCAGCCATTGTACGATGTGGGCATCATTACTCCCAGGTGTCAGATGGGGAGACTGAGGCTTAGAGAGATGATCTCACAGCTAGGTCAGTGGCAGAGTTGTGATCTGAATCCAGAGTCCATGTTCTCAACTGCTCCGCTGCCCCGCCTCGGTCAGAACCTCTCCACTCCCAGAGCTGGTGCCAACCAGACTTTATTTGTTGAAACAGTCTGGTCTAGCAGCTCAGCGGTTAGTGCTGTGGAGTGAAACCAAGCATAGCCCTGCAGTCAGACCTGGGTTCAAATCCCAGCTCAGCCATGTATTAGCAAGCAACTGTGTCACTCTGAGCCCCAGCTCCCCGTCTGTGAAATGGGGCTAGTGAGATTACCGCCTCAGGGACTTGTCACGGGTGACAGACGAGGGTGGGCAGGATGGGAGGACCTGGCCACTTTTCCCTTCATTTATTGTGCCTGTGGCTATGCTGCATGTTGTCCGGTCCCTGACCTCAGCGAGGGGAGATCCACGTGTAAAGAGGAAATGAGTCAGAGGATCCAGGGAGGCTTGGCTCAGAAGAGCGTGTGCAAACAAGGCTTGTAGGGAGATGAGCCCACTGGCTGGGTTGCCACGTGACGCCCCCAGCTGCCTTCACAACCGCACAGTGTTTAGCTGACAAGGACTTTCATACCCATTACCTAGGGCCTAAGAAGGCACTCTGGTAGTTTACAACTGGGGAAACCGAGGCAGGTGAGACTCAGTCAAGGTTGCACGCCAGCAAGGAGCTTCCTGCCTCCTGACCCCAGAGCAGTGCGCCCTGCTCCTCTCCCAGAATAAAACGACTCCTCCTGAGGTACCCAATGTCTCTGAGCAGCTCACTGGCTGAGGAGACTGGGGTCATTCACCTCTCCCCCGACTCCCCCAGAGGACAGACCCCACTTACCTCGGAAGGGGAAGGTACCCAATTTGTGCAGGTTCTCCTCCAGTTTCCCATAGTCCACCTCTGCCGTGGCAGTGAAGGGGGTGGTCACAGGGGGGTAGATGCCTGCAATGTCCACCTTCCTCCCCTCCCCTGAGGCCCAGCCCCCCACATTCCTGGACAAGCCCCTGCTCAGCCCCTGCCTCACGGAGGACCAGACTCCACGGCCCAACATCTCTGCAAGAGGCCCGAGGCCCAGCTGGTCTCTGCCCCTGAGTGAGGCTGAGTCTGAACTCCTTCCTACCCTGTTAATGATCAGTGTGTCTAGTTAAAAATTTGCTGCCCCCTGACTACTGGTGCTGGGGCAGGCCTGGGCTGAGAGTCCCCAGGGTCAGAGGCCAAGCCTATAGGCCCCATGGCCTCGCTCCCCTTAGGGGGCAGCTGGACAAATGCCACAACCGAGTGTCCCTCGGGCCAGGCGCGGGGGGCGGGGGGGGTCGGTTCCTGGAGTACCGACCCTACAGGGCTTCTCCAGTGGGGCCCGGGCCCTCCTCCCCCAATTCCCGGCCCCAAAGCTCGGAAGGCAGGCCGCGGTTGGCGAAGCCGATTGGCTGAGCCGGCCCCGCCCTGCGGGAGGGAGGCGTGGTTGCTGAGCCGCCGCCCGGAACCGCCGCCCTGCGCCGGCGCTCCGCTGCCCCTGGTCCCGGGCCAGGTTCCCCCTGCGCGGGCGGGCCGCCGCGTGACGAGCCTGTGCTGCCCGCACACAGCCCTGTGGGACGGCGGTCACCAGGACGGGGGGAGGGGCAGGAGGGGTGCGCGGAGCAGCGGACCCACGCTGGGAATTTGGGAAGAGGGCTGGCAGGAAAGAAGCAAGAAGACACCTCGGTAGGAAAAGCCACAGGGCTGAGGCCAAAGGGCTCCAGGCTCCCCTCTTCACTGAACCTACCCTGGCTCCGTTTTCCTTCACTCCTAAACATTTTAGACACAAATCGAAACAAACATCACCAATAGCAAAAACGACTTTTTTTATTGCAGTAGCTTGTGGGTGTCCCGGATCGTACGCAGAGGAATGGCAGGGTCCTCAGCTCTGGGGGCCGTTCTTAAGAGCCTCTGGCTGCATGCAGGGGACAGCCCGGGTGCCCAGGTGGCCTGGGGCAGGTGTTTAGTGGGCTGGCACAGGCTGGGGGGGCTCCTGCCCACTCTGGGCAGGACCCTCCAGCCCGTTCTGCTCTGACCCTGGCTCGGGCTCAGGGTGCTCCAGAGCCTGCCGGGTGTCAGCTTGCCACAGCTGCACCAGGTCCGTGGGGGTCTTTCCTGCCTGGGGGAACCAAGCGGAGATCTGGTCACTGTTCAGGTTTGTACCAGGAGGTTCCCTCATCTAGACCAGGGGTTCCAACCAGGGGCAATTGGCAATGTTTAGAATGTTTGTGGTTGTCACAATCAGGTAAGTGGGAACTACTGGCATTTGGTGAATAGAGGCCAAGGATACTGCTTTAACATCCTATAATGCACAGGACAGTTCCCTCACACCAATTATCCAGCCCAAAATGTCAATAATGTCCTGGTTGAGAAACCCCCACCCACTGCCTCCCCATATCTTCCTGACTTTCCCATTATCCCCTTAGCTTTCTTGAGTCAGGGGGGCCTTCCCATTCCCCCTCTTTCGTGATTGCTCCAGACCCCAGAGAAGAGCTTGGACTAGGGGACGTAGGACCCTGAGAGAACTCCAGGCCCACACAGTGTGCTAGGGGCGGTCGTGCCAACCAAGCGCTCAGGTTCCTTCCAGCTGTGTTCCTCCATGTCCCTCCCTGGGCCTAGACATTAGGACCCCCTTTGATCTATTTGGGGGCCTTTGGGAAGTCCTCTTACTGTCCTTTCTGGCCCTTCCTCTGCACTTGCACTCTGGACAGAGATAAGCATAGAGAGAGCTGGGAAGGTGGGTGGGCCCCAAATTCCCAGGGGTCCAGAGAGACCCTCCACTGTGAGTGTGCTCCGAGGGCAGGCTGAGTCTTGCTCAGTTCTATATTTCCTCTGAGTGCCTAGCACAGAGCCTGGGTGAGTGGTGCCCACTAATTACTGAATCAGGGAAGCAATGAACTTACTAGGTTCTTGGTCATCATGTCAGCCCCATGCAGGAGCAGCAGTTTGATGATTTTGTAGCGGTTGAGCCTCACAGCATCGTGCAGGGCACTGTCCCCTTCCTAGAGCCAATGTGACACTCAGTATGGCCCACGGG